CCCCCCCCTCCGTCCCCGCTTTGAAGGCGCTCTGTGGCCGTGGTCCTGCAGGGGTCCTCCACCCACCGCGCGCGGGGCTTCGGGAGGAGGGCGAAGAGGCTGGCAGAGATTTATCAGTAGCAGATCAAGTTTCTGTGGCCGCAGGCGGCAGCGGCTCCATCCCGAGCGGTCCCTTCCGCTTCAGTACCGACCACCACGCGCGACCCTCGCCTTGGCCCTGGCAGCCGAGGGCATCGCGACCCGGCCGGGGAGGGATCCCAGAGCTCCGTTCTTCTGCTCCGCGCCAGCCCTCCCAGCGGCCGGCAGGCCTCCCCCTCACACTCCCGCTCGGGCTCCTGCTCCCTCCCTCTTCGCTGCGCGCTCCGAGCTCCCTTTTGTTGCAAATAAACTTTGAGGCAAAGGAAAGGGGGCGGGGAGGCGGGGCCTCGCGCCCAAAAGAGGGGGTGGGCTCCGGGCGAGGCGCGAGTCTGGGAACCCGGTGGGGGAAGGGAGTCGGGGAGGAGCCGATGGAGAAACTAGATGCTTGAACATTAGCAGACAGAAGTGACCCTCGAGGGAAGTCCCGCGGGAGCGCGGCGGGATGAGCTGCAGCCCAGGACTCGCTGAGACACGCGCAAGTTCCGAACGTGGTCAGCTCTGCAGACGCACAGCCACCGTGGCGCACGCACCGCGGCTCAGCCGCTTTCGCGCAGGAACACCTCCTGTGCTAGGGGCTCCAACATGGCAACCTTGAACCCACAAACTCGTACACACCGACGCTCAGGTACACGCAGAAACACCCGGAGGCAGAGGGGGGGGCTCAAGCCCGTCATGGCAACCTTGAACCCACAAACTCGTACACACCGACGCTCAGGTACACGCAGAAACACCCGGAGGCAGAGGGGGAGGATCTCAAGCCTGGAGGAGCCGCTCTCCGCCCCGCCTCTTCACCGCTCCCAAGACACGCCCTTAGGCCCCCTTCCGCGGCGAATCCCGCTGCACCACGCCCACGTCCCGCCCCGCAAGCTTCCAAACGGGCCACACATTCCGCCGCCCTGCGGCCTGTTCGGTTCTCACCGTCTCAACTCACTCGGGACTCTACAGAAGCCCCACCCCTCGGGGGGATCATCCCCACCCCAATTTTTCCAGCTATCACGCCCCCACCGTCTGGGAGATGCTCCGCCCAGCACCCCTCCCCTCTCTTTCTCTCTTGTTCTGTAGTACGGGGCTTTTGCGCCCTCTACCGGCTAGTCCTCACAACACTGGAACCCGTACAGGTAAAACTCCCCGTCCACACTCAGCAGAGATGGAGTTAGGAAGACTTCTTTCAGTCGTTAAAAATGTTCATTCCGTTCTCTGGCCTCACACACAAAAGCAGCTTGGACGGGAGCGCACTAGACTTCCCACTGCCAGACCTACACTCGAACCGTGCTGGATCTACACTTCTCTACCCTCCTTGCAGGGGAGGGTTAGGACGCTTCTCCAGGTTCATACTGATCTACCTTAGAGGTCCCCTCCCACTTCTGTCCCAGTCTGGTGAGTCTGACGTTGTACCGGGTACTGAAGGCGTCACCCCTCCCCTTCCTTCAGCTGCGTATTACATCCTTTTCATCACCTCCGACCCAGTTTAAATGCTGAACCCGCAGGTTGGAATGAGGGACCTGAGAGGGCGGGGGTAGAACACAGCCAGGACACTGCCCTGAGACCTTGGGCTTCCAGGCATGGGACCTTTACTGAGCAGCCTCCTGGTGGCCCTGCATGTCCTCAAGCTGCCAGCTTTTTTAATAAATGAAGCAATGTTGAAGACTCTTTCCCCCTCTTGGGTGCCTGGTGAAGGTGCCCCAGGCCCCAAGAATTACGCCAGCTTGGAAGAGGCAGATGAAACAGAAGTGGGGTCTGGACTCTTCCTAGCAGTGAATACTCTGCTCCTACCCAGCTCCTTTTTCGGGCACCCCTTCCACCCACCCAGCCCCCCAGGCTTCACTGCTGACTGGCCATGCTTGGCTTCTTTCTCCCTCTGGTTTGGTATACATAGTGACATCCCCCAGGAGCTTCTGCTTCTACTAGTTGCTTGCAGTTTCTCCCTCTGCTGAGTTCCGTGACCTGCAGCACCCAGACAGTGCTTGCCCTTGTCTTGGGGCCGGCTGTGGGACAACTCTGGTCTCCTCAGCTTTCACACACTGGAAGCCACATGCCTCCTCCCAGGCCCTCTCCTGTTAGCCCAGGGAAGAGCCCAGCAGAAGGCTGTCTCCCCACCTCTGTCTGCTGAGCCTCCACTTAGCCTCTGATGTCTGGCTCCTCCCCCTGAGAGGTCTTTCCTGACTCCTTGGATGAGGTCATGGGCATCCTGTGGACCCTGATACCAGTCACAGCTCTGATGTCACTTTGTCAGTGTCTTGGGAGCCTGAATAGGGCATGGCTAGAACTGGTCTTTCTAGGGCCTCCCTCAGAGTCATGCAGGCTTGAGAAAAAGGTCTTAGTAAAGGCTTACTAAATAAATGAAATATCAAAACTTCCTACCAGAAAGCCCATATTCATCCCTCAAAACCCAGCTCAAATGCGCCTTCCTAGAAGCTCTCACTTTCCTTTCCTACCTTCCCTCATGCCCTGCATTGGTGATTCCAAAGCATGTACAAAGTACAGTATAGTACAAAGCCTCTTTTACAGTACAAGTCACATTATAATTCTGTGAACAGTATAACATGGCTTGCTTGCTTGCTTTTTTCTTTTCTTATTTTTTGGTTCTTTCTTTCTGTACCGTAGATGCAACCTAGGGTGTTCACACTGAGATACATCCTCACCCTTTTTTCATATTTTAAGTTTTAAATCAGGGTCTCATAAGTCACTGAGTTGTCCAAGCTGGGCTTGAACTTTCTATCCTCCTGCCTCAGCCTCCTGGGGTACTGGAATCACAGGCTTGTTCTGCCATGCTCAGCTTATCATGGTTTTCTTTACTCTTTCTGGCTGACTGAGAGCTTTGGAGGGCCAGGCCCAGGCCTACTGGTCTCTGTGCCCTTAGGCCCTGTTCTTGAGAAAGGGCTCAATAAATACTTGATGAGGTTTGGGACCTCAACTGTGTACCCAGCTGAGCTGAATTTTAATTCCATGCGTGCTTTGGGGTTGGTGGGATGCACTGGCCACAATGCAAATACAACAGCATCCCAGCCCCAGGTCCTGTTCTGGTGGACTCAGCCACCCTGCCGCTGCCACTTGGCGGTGAGTTTCAGTATTAGCTCGTGTGGCCGCCGGCGGAACTTCCTCTGGGTGAAGTAGAAGAGGATGGGGTCCAGCACACTGTTGGCGCTAGCGAAGGGCCGTGTGACTTTGTAGGCAGCAGCAAAGGCTTCCAGAATGGGACAGGGCACACCTGACATAGAGCGCACCGCCAGGTAGGCTGTCTTGGTGACATGGAAAGGCAGGAAGCTGATGGCAAAGACGGCTGCCACAACCACAGCCATGCGGGCTGCCTTG